TTTGGCCAAGTAGTTTAAGAGTTACAGCTGTTTAAAGTTTGGTTTCAGAAATGACTGCTTTCTGTCAATTGTGGACCAGTTTCTGTAAATGGATATATTTGACTTAGTTAACTTGAGAATCATGCTAAGATGATTAAATATGAATTGTAGAAAATTTCATAAGCTTTCCAGAATGTCTTCTTGCAAGTCATTTGGATTTGCGTAACTCCAGTTATAGCTAAATCTTGTAGCTGCTGTTTGCATGTCCAGAAATTGGCATATTCCAATTATAGTGTTTGCTTGTATATTGTTAAGTGTGACTTATGCCTTGAATGATGACTGAGTTAGAGCACCTGAGATCTTGAGAAACTTGTGCCATACTTGATGTGCTTGCTCTCTATAGTTAGTGGTGTGATGTTAGTTAAATAGTTATTGGTGTCTATGTCTTGCATAATAACTTGTTTGTCTTGTATGCTTATGTGATGCATCTTTTGTTACAATTCATCACATTCATACACACATCATCGGCATCTCATCTAGGTGCGCTAGATGAACCACGTGAAGAACATGATGTTGAAGCCGAACCCAAGACGATGTATGGAGGATCTATCCGAAGATGGAAGGACTAAGCGAATGCTAGGACACGAGACGTCACCGAGACGGTGCAAGCTAAGCCTGAATCGACTTGTGTCGGATCCCGTGCAAGCCCCGGAGCATTATAAGTCTCCTAATTTATAAAAGCAATTCTTTCTATATATGAGTTATATATTGTTGCATTAAGTTGTAGGAGTTGATTGAAACCGTTGATGCATTTATTACTATCCTTGCCTACCTTATTACCCTTTTACCTGTTAGGTCAAGATCGAATAATTGCTTAGCCTTGCTTAGACCGGTAGCGATCGGTGATATCCGATCACCTACATTTATAGGTGGTTCTTTGGAAGAATTTAGCTATGGAAAGAATGATATCCTGAAATTAACCATGTGTGATGGATAATTGGAGACCGGACGGAAAAGTTGGAGGCAACGGAGACGGGGTTTCACGGGGTCTTTGTTAGTTTCGTCTCAGGTCGATTAAGGACCGACCGTTGTTGGCCCTCGAGTCATGTTGAACGCATGCCTTACATTTAGTTGGCCGAATAAAGTACCTTCCGACCGCGAAGCTGGGAGATTTTTCGGGCCGAGTAGATTGCCCACATGCCAAGACCTTGGGCGGAGAGGTGTGGTAGGACACGGGCGGGATGATAAGACCAAAGTGCAGTCGGTCGGCCCCGGTACATGTGGTTCTGGCAAACTCGAGATACCGAAAAGTTGACTCGGTGATCAATATCTCACTTTAGCGGGTGAGTGAGGTTTGTGTAAGGAATAAATCACCCGGTGGTTAGGAATCGATTCGAATCGCCATCGCTCCTGGATAGTGAGCACTTGACTCGAGTTACTTCATCGTAGTAATTATTATGGAACAATGATGGTTATCTGGATGATATGGGATATGCTAAATCTAAATTGGTAACTGGATGTTATTGGTTAATCAAGTGATTGCTATAGTACAGGTGCTTACCTAGATGGATAGGCCATAATAAAGATGATGCAAAGTACTTAAAATGGTTTCTTCATGATAGCTTATGCTTTTCGCAAACAAGTCAGCTAGCCCACTAAAGAAAGCCTTGCATGATCCTTGGTGTCATTTGTTTTGGTTTCCGACGGGTAAGTCTGGCTGAGTACATTCGAGTACTCAGGGTTTATCCCACCTTGTTGCAGGTGATGTCCTCGACCTGTTGATGATGGTGGCTAACCACCGGTGGGCTCGGTGATTCTATATTGACTTCTCATCTATATGCTTTTGTCGGATGATGTCACTATGCTAGCAATATATTTGGAACTTATATTAATGTAATCATTTGAAAGCTATGTGGTTTTCATTAAGCGGTTTTGAAACCCAAACTTGTACTATTATTTGTTAACCCCTTTGTAATATTATTTCCGCCGCAACCTGATGTATGTGATGTGTATTTGCTTAATCACGCGATCTTGGTTGTGATGTTGATTTACCGAGGTCTTTCGGGACACTCGGCGGACTATCGGGTTTATATGAGTGAAAGTATGGGTGTGTCAACGTGTTAGCGGGGACAACCGTACTTGATCTTGTATAAATTGGGCGGTTCTGTCACACCTGTTATGCCGATCACATCCCGCACAGCTCTTTCTCTTGAATGGTTGTGTGGCTGCAACTTTTTGCCCATGGTTGATGACGGAGTGAGGAGGTGAAAGAATGGAGCTTTGAGCTGCCTAGGCCATGGTTGGGTGGACATTGCATGAGATGTAGGGTATGAAAAAAGAACAAAATGAGACGATAGAAACCTGTTTTGAGATGGAGATCAGAGAGGCTCGATATGATATGCTTGTACATTTATCTAACACACATATATTATATATTTTATTTTGCGCCAAAATATTTGGGCAATAAACTAAAATGCCCCTTTTTCTGATAATGAACTAAAATGCCCTTGAATGTTGAATCAAGGCACAAGGCAGGTCTGCACTTGGTGCTTCCCCCTTCCCCCTCCCCCTGCAGTCTACTTTTTTTATATAAAAAAGTGAAGGGTTGGTTACTATAATTGACATCTTCAAATAAATCATTATGCTAACCATGGAAAATACTTCAAATTTGTGTGGAATGTAGTTGGTGAAGCTCGGAATTTTGAATGTGGTGCTTACTATGGCATGCCTTTGATTCTTCTGCCATCCTTTATATCTGAGAACAATAGGTATTTACTCTTGGAATTGCAGAATATGGACGTGATTGGTCTCACGATTTTGTTTAGATTACCCACTCCCTCATTTTCCTACTGAATAAAAAGTTATGGTATAAGGTAGGGATGGACCAACACATTCCATTATTTATACCGTCGACCATACAAATTTGCTAGGTTTGGACTTTGGAGTCAAAATTCATTGGCAAAAGCAGAAGTGTTAGGTTCAGAGTTATAATGGCCATACATATTACTCAACCTGTGAGTCGATTCCATGATTTCATCCTGCAAATGAAACTTAACTTCAATTCCAAGGTTTGTTCCTGCTGCAGACGCTCCAAATGCTAGCAACCCGGCCTGCTGCAAATGCTAGCAACCCGGCCTGCCGCAGACGCTGGCGGGTGTGTTTTGGAACTTCTTGCGCCTTGGTCGGATGCCAACGGTCATGCTTTCTCTAAGTTTCACCCTTGCTAGCCAGCTAGATTAATTAAGGGGGTGTTTAGATTGGACTGCTAAAGTTTAGCTGGTTAATTTTAGTCTTGTTTAGTCACTTTTTTACCTAAACACTATAACTAAATGAGACTAAAAAGATATTTAGCTAATTAGTCACCAATGGGTTGTTAAATGGGACTAAGCTCAGACTGCCTCACCTTTTAGTCACTTTGATCTAAACACCCTAACTAAAAGGGACTAAAATACTCTTTTAATCCATCAAACTAAACAAATGTGGCTAAAATTTAGCAACTAGTTTAACTGTCTAAATTTTGGTAGCTTCAATCTAAACCGGGCCTAACTAGCTACTACAGGCGAGTAGCTAGGCGAGTGAGATCTACTACTGGTTTATTACGAGTGTCTAGCAGCTTCTACCGGGCCGAAATAGATTTTCCAGCCGTCCACACACAGCTAACATTATACTCGTACCATAATCTATAGGTTTGTCACGTTGACCGCAGTGGAAGCAGTTTCCTTTGGTTTTTACTGGTGTCCTGCAGTACTAAACAAGTGCTGCTCGGTAAATACAATTCTTGCATGCGACCACCCCTCGCAACTTAAGAGACTTATCACTTCTGAACTGCAAAGTACCATATACATGTAGTAGCTAGTACGAGTAAGGAACCTGCAAATCCTGTATGCAACGTAGAAACCGTGCAGTGCATGAAAATGTGTGTGTGTGACAGATCAGCTTTACCAAATCCCTAGACGATGCATGGTCCAGATCGACGGTGGGGGCCCTCCGAAAAGGGTACTCCTAGATCGGATGGAGACACAAGCGTACACGGGCAGGAGCGCCAAGATCGAGCAGGTAGTAGCGTGCATGCAACAGTGCAAAGGCAGCAGAGACACCCCCCTGCACCGCGCAGCACGCCGCGAGTGGGAACAAAGTCACTGCCGAGGCCCAAGAGACGCCACCGCATGGCACGAGATAGAACGGTCCGAACGCCCCTGCCACCTTCCTATTCCTATATAGGAGTAGCTAGTACCGGCCGGTACGGTGTCACGCAGGCTAGTAGGTCGCATGCGGACACAGCATACTACAAGAGCTGCACTAATCCACCGCTCAGAGCTAGACACTGATCAGAGTAAACTAATCCGCGTGGAGAACCCTAAACAACAGCAACGATCCAAGAACGAACGTACACCCGCATGCCGCGCGGCCGGCTGCGCCCATGCACTGCGCGCGCGGTGCGCGCACATGCCTGCATGCACGAACGCGCACGCCGCGGGGCGAGGGCGAGGGCGAGGGCGAGAACAGCAGCACAAAGGTAAAAGGCCTCTCTCTCGCGTTGGGAGGCGCGGGCACAGGCGCAGGCGCGGCATGCCGGCCGGCATCGGCATGGCATGGCGGAGGTGGACGCCGCCGCGCGGCCCGGCCCCGCAAATAGCAAAGTACACCATCTGAACTTTCAACCCTTTTCTTCATTGGTGATGGAACTGATCATATCAATTACAAACAAAGCCAAAAATGCCTTGGCTTTTCAGAGGAACAATAAATCAAAATTAACTAAAAACTGAGCCCGATCCGTTCCTCTTCAGTTCCGCACCAATTCTACCCCTCCTTTCCCCTGTATATGTCACCTACACGTCTAAGACAACAACAATCATGGGTTCTAGAGGTTTCCAGAAGGTACAGCAACTCTTGCTCTCAGGCTGCAGATTTACTTGTACAATTGAATTGGCCATCAGAATTTGTCAACGTGAATGGAGATTAGCTGTTCAAACTGAACAACAGAAGTGATCAATCAATCATATGTATCTGCCGTGCCCACCTCAGTATAGCTTTGTGAACTCGGCGTTCTGGTTAGGTTCTCCGAGCCTGAATGCATCCCTCTCGATCAGGACATGCAAGGAGCTCATTGTCTTGACCAAAGATGCCCAGATCAAGGGTGCGCAGCAGAACGCACACGCAAACACTGCCAATGCCCTGACAACACCATTTAGATACCAAGGAAGGCCATCACCAATAGCGCTACCGATGAATCCAAACCATGTTGTGAGGACGGTCATCGGGTGGAGGAGGAAAACGTTGATCACAATGGAAGAAAGAGAGAAAGAACCAAGCAAGTAGAGAGGCCAGCCAAGCAGTGGATGGACGGTCCTTGGGATGATGAAGAAGGGTATGGTGTAGGCAGCAAGTATGGACCAAGCTGCCGCTACTCTCAGAAGGGAGAGCAAGAACATAGTGTTTTTCTCCATTCTTCGGTTGTAGTACATCTTGGACAAGCTAGGCGCGCCAGTCGGGTCACTGCTATGACTCCAATGTACAGTACAGCCTGAATTAATACTACTGGTATCTCCGATGAATACCTGTTTTGCATAACATTAACATATTATAACGAAACATAGGTTCTGCATTTCAGAAACTAAAATCAGCATCCTTAACCAGCATGACCTCCCCTAACCCCCAACTTAGGAGTAATATTATACCCTTAATTATAAGAATCCCCTACTTTCTGGAACTTTATATTACCAACGATAAAAAAGAAACATGACAACTTCTTGCCTTATGTAACTTTATCCTAAAAGACAAAAAGGCATGGTAATGCTTTTTTCCCCCTATGCATCTTTATTCTAAAGAAGATAGAAAGATAGAATGCATTTCTTCGTGACATGTTACTAACCACGTCAGGATATAATAATGTGGACATCCTTATCTGGTTCTGTAGGATGTCACTAAGGTTAGAATTTGAGCATGCAATAGAAATAAGCATCACAAAAAGGAAAGTAAAATAGACCACTCACCCTAGGTTTTCACGACGTTGTTCATGCCAAGAGAGCCCCAAAGGTAAAACTGGCCAAGACCACCAGTACCATGGCTTAAACCATGGAGCACTCGGAAATGTAATCACACTGTTCGGTCCACATGGAATACTCCAGCGAAGCTTCAGATCTGAAAGTCTAGTCTGTTAGTCTGGACCAACAGAATGTTTGAGAATGTGGAATAATCATACTGGTACAAGCACTCACAATAGTAAGACGCGTCCATCTGGTAGCCTAGAGGGAGGCGATAAGTACCCTGAAGTTTTGTACCATTAGCTGGTGGATGGAACATTGGCTGATCAAGCAAGTCTGGGAAATAACTAGCAAGGAAGCCTTGGTCTGCACCATCTGGGTTTTCACGTCCAACCGCTAGCTCATGTAGCATGTTCTTAAAAACGTCCATTGAGGGCTGGAAACAAAATAAAGTTAGAAACAAAAAAATACACCAAACTCCTGAGGAAGGCTAATAGATTTCAGGTAAAAAAATGCAATGAGTTCCGGAAGTAGTGAACAAGATAAAATTTTCATTACTAAACAAGGAATAACAAAGAATCAATTATCAAAAGGCAGTTAGGTTTCCACTATGCTGAAGTAATGGACATCAAAGAATGTCGCTAGCTGCAATGTAGGTTTGTTTATAACCATTTCAAAGACAGAAATAACATATTTTCTGATCTGCAAGAGTTAATTTTTTTGCAGAAAATGGAATGCATGCAAAGTAAGTAGCTCTACCTGAAGCACAAAGAGACCTGTATGGAAGATGCAGGGATTGATGAAGACAGCACAGAACTGACCACACTGAAATAACTCATCAGTATTTTGGAGGAAAATGTTGTCAGAGTCAAGCATAACAACTTCGCTCATCTGAAACCAAGCTCCATGCATACAGCTTGTTTAAAGTCAACTTGAATCGCATGTTGAAATTTTCTTGTTTCTCGTAAGGATTTTTCAAATTCTCCACAGAGACCACCTTTACACCATCATCTTTCCTAAAGAAAGAGTTTCAATCCATATATATTACTAACAGAGCAAAAACTGTAAGAAAGAACATGTTACTGAAGTAAACAAGTCCAATTTTGCAGGAAAAGAAAAACATTTCATCCCAAATATATATTGCCGCTGTAAGTGTATGTTCAATGCTTAAAATAGGAGCATAAATTGTAAAACACCCAGCAAAAAGCATCACATCAGAAAAGAAAAGGGATGCTCCATGCATGGTTTCAAAGAACAGTGTCACAGGACAAATTGGCATGATGGCATCAACGTTCATATTTGCTACTTCACACAGACAAATATTGATATCTTTTACCTAATCTTGTGTTTCACTCTATACAACCACTATTGTCCATTCATGATTAGCAGCACTTTTTTAGAGCCAACAATAAAATAGAGTACTGCTATAGTGCTATTTCTTGATGCCCACACCAAGGGTATAATAAGCTCAACTTGTGCTCAAGTTTTGTAATACAGAAAAGCAGTAAAGTTTTATCAATTTATTATGTGCAAAGTGCAATTAAGTTTCTGTTCTTTAAAGTTCACAATTAAAAAATTTCTCAATATAGCAAACAATTGAAGATTTAATATTCTAACAAACAAAGAGAAACGTTGGACCACTAGGATACCCCCCAAAAAACACAAATTCCAAAAAAAAAAACAGCATCCACTCAAGGTATAAGTTGTTGAAAATAGCTGACAGAGTCATAAGTCATAGCACAGACAGATATTTAGCAAGAAAAAACAATGAAAAACAAACTCCAGTCGACATCCACATGTGGCTGTTTGGACAATACGACATATTTTACATACTAGTCCAACTGATATATTGTTATAGCCACAGTCCCCATCAGCTAACTACTTACTAGAACGTGAGGCAGTGGAAATCAGCAGGTCAAATATCACAACTGTTCAGTAAACATCGTAGATAGGCCAAGTCAGTAGCCCATTGCAGACATCATTTTATATAACATCGCAGCTGCAATCGATGAAATTCAAACGCCAGGACTGGAAATTCGCAGCTCAAATCTCGTAGCTTATCAACAAATATCTCACATGCACTCACCTCAACAAACTTCATGGCCTTACTACTAAAGTCAACATGAAAGGGACCTCCGCACTAAGAGACCGTTGAAATTGTGAGGCCATTTTGCAAAGATGCAGCCAGAGCACGAACACAGTCATCTCGCACTTTGACACAAAGTACATGTCAGAACACTAACAAGTGTCGGCTAGTTAGAGAAGTTCAGATAGTACGGTAGAGAAGTGCAGCACGGTTTGATCCATGAAAAGAGAGGAATCACTTTAAATACGGCTGGAACACCTGATGGTCCTTATGTTTAAGGAAATGTGACGAATACAATGAAACTTGAACTGAACAAGGAAGGAGACAATTTATAATCATACACCGGAACATCAACCTATCAAAATAACCATTAATTTGCGTCCAAGGTGTTGAGCCAGACAACCAAAAGGACCAAAGTTCGGCGCGGGCGTGAACTTGACCCAACCGAACATGAAAATAACCACGAATTTTGCTTCAATGAACTAAGCAGGCATCAAGTCAAACCCCGAGCACTTCAAAATGCACCCCAAACTGATCGGAACGCAGCAAAGTACGCATCAAACAACGGCAGGGGCGTCCGTTACCGAACGCCCAGCGATCCAATTAAGCGCCACCCGGGCGGGAGCCGAGTGGCGCGCTCGCGCAAAGAGCCAAAGAGCAAGACGGGAGGAGGTGGGAGAGCTTACAGCGCCTGGACCCAGAGCGGCGGGACGTCGAGGGACGCGATCACGACGCGGTCGGCGTCGGCGCTGAGCCGGCGCAGGGACCGCATCATGACGCGCGTGGCGACGTAGAACTCGTAGTCCCGTGGCGTGCCCATGTACATCATGGACGCGTACGCGTGCCGCCTCGGCGCCGCCGCGACGGCCGCGACCTCACCCTCCGCCGCCGCCGCCGCCGCCGCCACCGACACCGCCGCCACGAGCCACCACAGCCCCGCGGACCACCCCATCCCCACAAGGGAAGGCAGGGACGGAACGAACCCCACTTCCCAGCACCACCCCGAGATCTGGGTACCAGCGTGGACCCCTGGGCCTTACCGCGCCGGGCTCCGGAGTATCCGCGGGCGGCCGGAGCTCGGTCGACGCCTCGACGGCTCTGTGCAGCCGCCGGAGGTGTCGCACGCTCGCCGCAGCCGTGCCTCCGGAGCGGTGGATATTTTTTTTTCTTTCCCTGTTTTTTTTTATCTCGATGTCCTTTTGATCTGTCTCGCTCGCATCAACGGGAATGGGAGAAGGGTTGGAGGTGGAAGTGGAGGGAGCAGTAGAAGACGCGAGAGGCGAGACCCCGAGGAACGCGGTGCTTCCAGCGATCAGACGGGCCTGGCTGGCCAGCTGACCTAACCGGGTTGAGCAGCACAGCACAGCAGAGCTGAGCCTGAGCGTGAGCCGTCAGCAGCTCAGAGCTCACCACCTGCCTCTGCCTGACCGTGTATATAATTTTAGGCTCAGTTCGCTGTCATTATAAGTCGGTTTATAAGTCGGCTAAAAAAGAACGGTGGTTGTGCCTGCGCACTTCCGCTAATAATTGTGAGTCACGTGAAGCACCAGTTGAATTTGCGTAATCACGATGGGACTAATGATTAGGGGTTGGGCTTGTCACAGCGAATGCAGCTGGGTAGGGCTTGTCACGTTGGCTGAGAGGCTGGGCCAGGCCAAGCTGGGGTTTCTTTTTTCCAGATGGGCTTTGTGATTGGCGAGATCTTGTGCGAGTTTTTGGGTTCGCAGGCCCATCTCAGAACCAAATACAATGGTCCGCCGAGGCCCGGCAGAGATACCCGCACGCCACCACACGATGTGCCGGCGGTGCCGCCGGATGCCCGGATGCGATCCCACTACTGTCACTGGTTCCCTCACCCTACTGGCCGGTGTCCCCGCCCGCTCATGGCCCTCGGCGTCTCCGCGGTGCCTTGGCTCTCAGTACCCTCTCTGCCAGATGCTAACGGCGTGCCGTCGTGCCAATGCTGCCGTGGACACGGCAAGTGCTCGGCAACATCCTGTTTCTGCAGAGCTGCGACTTCACGAGGGATGGGAGTTTCTTTTAGGGCAGGTTCGTCGTCTGCAATTCTCCATTTGAGCTCTAATACACATATGATGAACTGGGTGTTCATCTTCAAGACGAAAGACCAGGTGCATCTCTTTTTAGCAAAAGCCTCATTTGCATGGCATTGGGTAAAATTCATTTATATTAACAAGGCACAACTTTTAGTTGGTCCAGTCTGGATCAAAGCATTCCTCTGAAAGAAGTTGGATTCGATGCAAAAGCTTTTGAGGCTGATATCTCACCGGTACTTGATTGCACAACCACTGCCTGATAGGCTTTATTAAAGAAGGAGAGAAGAAACCAAGAAAATAGGCTATTAAACTTCATGCTGCAGCTACCGAGCAAACTGTTGAAAAGCTCACTCCAACTAATTGTCATCAGTTAGTCTCACAAAATTCGTTAAAAAGCACCATATCACAAATAATTCGTGAAAGAAAGAACTCCAAAACGAAAAGGTCACATCCTGCTGATCGAAGCCAGTCTAACAAAACCAATGGAGGACCAGCTAGAAAGATTCGTAAACTAGTTCCTAAACCCCACTCCAAAGTCCTAATCCGAATGCTATTATTCCTCCGTTCCCTGAGCTGAGCAGCTGAGCTGCGCCTCCACTGAATCCAGGTCACCACTGCACTTTGTTCGTGTCATCGTGTGTACTTTGCTTCCAGAGCCAGGAACCACACCACCAACCACTTCTCGCGCTCTCCAGCTCACTGGTTCTTGCCGAGAAAAGGGAGGAGAAGATCGAATCTTTTTGCCGCCACTCTTGCTTTCCTGTTCTTCGTTCAGCGCCATGAGCAGTAAGCTGCTTCGGGTCTACCCTTCCGAGCTCAAGATTCCCTGTAAGTTCTTCATAACTAGTTGCTTCATGATGTTTTTTCTTGGCTGATTCTAGTCTTCTTATTCCTGTTGCCATGAGAAGATGAGGTCAAGAAGCAGCGGTCTTGCTGCATGGAGCTGACGAACAGGACCGACCAGTACGTGGCCTTCAAGGTGAAATTTCCTGTCCTTGTTGCTGTTCCGAGCTGCTGCTGCTGCGGTGCATTGGGAGGGAGAATGATTGGCTTCGATGCCCCCATACGTAGGTGAAAACAACGAACCCAAGGAAATACTCTGTGAGGCACGCCTGCGGTATACTTCATCCCCGGAGCTCGTGCAATCTCACAGGTGCTGTCTGAGCAGCATGTGCTCGATTAGTCGATTAATTGGTTAATCTGATTCAAATTGGCAATGAAGGGTTGGAATTGGCGCAGTTACTATGCAGGCTCCAATGGAGATGCTATCTGATCACCACTGCAAGGACAAGTTCCTTGTGCAAAGTGTTGTAGTGAGAGATGGGGCGACGATGAAAGACTTCCTGCCCGAACTGGTACGTTCTCTTGTGGGAGTTTAGTTCATGTATTGTTTAATCATTTACTGCTGGCGTGAAATATTAATGTTGTGATTTGCAGTTCGTTAAAGCACCAGGTAGGGTGATTGGGGAGTTCAAGCTGCGCGTGGTGTACATTGCTGCTAATCCTCCATCACCGGTTCCAGAGGAAGAAGAAGAAGAGGATTCATCCCCTCGGTCAGAGGTGATAGGCTGTGAAGAGAAAAGATCACTTGTATTTAATGCTGTATGTAATGCTACCGAGTTTGATGCTACTGTACAAAGGGAAACCTGACATGGATTATGTAATGCTATAGTTTGTTTCTTTTGCAGACACCTACTTATATACGGGCATCTGGAGAAGAACCTTCATGTGCTGAGGTAACTCTTTTCTCGGTATAGCAGTTTTTAATTTCGCGATCGGATGTGTACCCATATTTCATTAAGAAGAAGAGAAAATTTACACGACATCGACAAGATCCGGCCGTGCCATGCCCGCTGGCAAGACACTAGCGTGCAGGACCAACCAGGAATGTCAATAGGCTAGAGCTAGAATCGAGCAGGTACAACACATACAGAGACAACTATACTGCAGTAATTTTCTCGGTATAGTAGTTACTCCCTCCGTCCCATATTATTTGTCGTTTTTTTTTTGTTTCCGTGTATCGGTGTTTTGGACCGGGGGTCCTCTACCAACTAGTGAATTTGAACTGCGTGCTCCTAATCTCGGATGGTGATGTAAAGAGACACAAGGTTTATACTGGTTCGAGCAATCGATGTCCCTACGTCCGGTCCCGAGAGATCGATCTTATATTCCTTTGCACGAAGTGCTAGTAGTAGGGGGTTACAAGCACAGGGAGAGAGGGAGCTAATCCCAGGTCTCGGCGAGGTGTCGTGTGGGCTGCTTGAGACGTTGCTCTCGGACGGCTGGGATGTGTATGTGTGTGAGCTACCAGGTCTTCTCCCTATTTTCCTTTTCTAAAGGGCCCAAGTCCTCTCTTTTTATAGTTGAAGGGAGGACAAGGACAGTACATGTGCTGACTATACGGCGTCGTGCCAATAGGGGCGGTGTGTCCGAGCCCTGTGGCCTGTTCCTGTGGCGGCGTGGTCGTCGGAGTGGTCCGTCCTTGGAGCACTGGGGCGACGTGCTGGTCACGTCCGACCCTGTGCATCATGGGAGCTTCTGGGCTACCTCGGAGCAGGTGCGGCGGCCAGGACGCGGATCGCTGTGGATTGGCGGCGCGTGAGGCCGAGGCTTCGGTCGAGTGCCGAGGCTATTTGCCATGATGGGGGTCTCGGCGAGCACGAACCCCGAGATAATTTGAGACCTTGGTGTATAGTGCCGAGGCTCGAGAGAGGCGGTGATCTGGCCTTGGTTGGCTTGAGGCGGTGATGACCCGGCCAAGTAGTCCACGCGATGTTGTTTTCGAGATAGGGATTGCGGGGCACGAGTCACGGTGTGGGCGCTGATCGTGGGCCTGCTGTCGAACACGATGGCCGGTAATCCCGGCCCGGTATGGGCACGCGGTCGGTGTGGGCGTTGATGCGACCTCAGTCCCGTCGGCCATTTCAGTGGTGTCAAGCCGTCGTCCATTTGAGATTGCGGGAGTGGTTGAAGTATTAATGGGACATGACGTCTTTGTCGGGAGGGTCGGTCGAAGCGGGGCGATGGACTATGGATAATTTGGCCTTGCATGTCGGAGAATGAGGCCTTACACGTGAGGCGGAGGGCGAGCCTCGCGCTTGATGGAGATCAGACTCCTTGCCGAGGCCTTCCGTGAAGAGCCTCGCGCGAGGCGGAGAGATTGCGTCCAGACGCCGAGACCTTCTGCATGAGGCTCGAGATGAGGCGGAGAGGCTGGCGGGCTCGGGACGTGGCGGGTGAGGGGCCCATGGCTTACCTTCTAGCTTTGTATTTTGATGGGACTTAAGTGCCCCTTTGATGTTCGCTCGGGTACCCTATCCTAAGGTACCCGACAAGTAGCCCCGAGCCTCCGGGGAGTGCGTGCACTCTCCCGAGGGTTCGCCGAGGCTTGGTTTATTCCCGCTCCCGTAGGAATTAGGTTTTGTTTCTTGAGGTTCCGGTGGGTGGGTGCCTGGGCCTGGCCGGGTGTAGTGAGGCCGAGGCCCCGGAGGTGGAGTTACTCCTCCGGGGCTTTTTTTTCGTTCGCATTTGAGCGAGGGTTTTTATCGCATTTGCTTAGAGAGCCCAAGCGCAAGTTCGGGTTGCGAGGGTCTCGGCGAGGCTGCGCAGGAAAAGCCCTCTAGCCTCACTTGACGGAGCGAGAGATCCGTCGAGGATCCCCGACTTTGGGTACGACCCTCACGCTTCCTTTTCGTTCGGAAGGAGGGTGGAATGTGCCGAGCTACCCTTGATGGGCACAGCGTGGGCACTTCGGTGAGTGTTATCGGGTAGTTCGAGTGGAGGCCCGAACCCCATTCGCTAAGGGTCGGCTAGCGGTCAGGAGACGCACTCCAAGAGTACGAGAGGGTTTCTCTAGTGGATGCCGAGGCCGTTCGGCTGGCCTCTCGGCCATTCGTGAGGCTCACCCCAAGGTCGTCCCCGACTCTATTGCCTGGGCATTGTCGAAACCTCTAGAGGCCCGACCTTGAACCCCTAGACCGTGTGAGCTCGGTGCCCTTTATCGTATTTGTAATGGAACTTCTAGCGTGGACTTAGACCGTTTGTCTTTGTCTTGGGCGCAGGGAGGAGCCCCGAGCCTCCGCTTGAGGGAGCAGGAGAGGCGGTCAGGGGTCCCAGCTTTTTCATCCGACCCTCACATGTCCTTTTCGTTCGGACGGAGGGTTTGTTTGCCGAGCCCATTCTCGGGTGTGGCCGGAGCCTTGGTCTCGGCAAGGTTGCAGGAAGAGCCCCTAGCCTCTGCTGAGTGAGGCGAGAGGGCCGTCGGGAGTTCCCCTAGCTTTTTATACGCCCCTCGAGCGTGAGGGTTTGTTTGCCGAGGCCCCTTTGGGCGCCAGCCCGGGTCGTGGGGTCTCGGCGTATCTGCAGGAAGAGCCCCCTAGCCTCTGCACAGGTGGTGAGAGGGCCGTCGGGAGCTCCCCTGTCTTTTTGTACGACCCTCACGCTTCCTTTTCGCTCGAAAGGAGGGTTTGTTTTGCCGAGCCCCTTTGAGTGCGAGCCGGGGTCGTCGGGTCTCGGCAAGGTTGCAGGAAGAGCCCCTTAGCCCCTGCATAGAGCGAGAAGGCCGTCAGGGGTTCCCCTGACTTTTTGTACGACCCTCATGCTTCCTTTTCGCTCGGAAGGAGGGGTGGAATGTGCCTCGCTACCCTCGGTGGACACGAGCGGTGGCACCTCCGGTGAGCTGTTTTGGGTAGTCAGTGGAGGCCCGAACCCGTTCGCTAGGGGACGGCTAGTGGTCGAGACACACTCCAAGAGTACCGGAGATTTCTCTAGTGGGTGCCGAGGCCGTTCATTTGGGCCTCGGTGGCTCGGTGCCTCCCCTACGGTGGGATCCCATTCGAGAGACCTTTCTGCCGGTCTCGGACACGACTTTGGGCGTCCCAAGCATTTCGCTTGCTTGGGTCTCGGCCCGTATAGGTTTCGCCCATGGTCGTCCCTCGACTCTGTTATCACGGGCGGTTGTCGAAACCTCTTGGGGCCCGACCTTGAACCCCTGGACCATAATAGGGCTCAGAGCTGGTTCCTTCATATGAAAGGAATAGGCCGTGGGGAATATCTTCCCTATTGGCTCGGCCACGGGTGGCGCGCTTTTGAGGCGGCTTCGGGAGGCGAACGATGCTGCTGCCAGTAGTGGCCGAAGCGTGACATGGTGGATGGGATGTAATCTGTTCTCGCATTTAATGAGGGAGGCGTGGGCGCGTGGGCGGTGAAATCGGCTCGTGGTTAAGCTGCGCCGGATCGGGGGAAACTTCCCGATTTCGTCATCGCCGTTCGCTTTCGCCTCCTCCTGCATAAATACCGAAGAGTCCGCCCTCCTCGTCTTACCTTGCTGCAGATTAGCATCGCCTCCGTCGAGCGTCACTAGAGCGGTGGGTGCGGGAAGAAGAGGGAGAAAAGCGAGCCTAGGGAGAAAGCGAGGAAAAAGCAAGAGCGTGGGAGAGAGAAAAAACTCACCGCCGCACCCGATTCCTCCATCGCACCCATGGCCGGCGACATCGTCGTTGTCGAGGTGGACCCCTGGGATCCATCGGATGTCACCGAGGAGATGCTTCAATCGCTTGTCGACGGTGGACTCCTTCGCTGGGTGACAGAACCCACCGAGCCGAGTGGATTGCTCCGTCTGCGGTGAGCAGGCCGAGGAGGCCCGCGACGGCTACGTCGTAAGCTTCATCTCCTTTCACGAGCGCGGCCTCGGTGTCCCGGCGGATCGGTTCATGCGGGCGCTCCCGCATTACTACGGCATGGAGCTCCACAACTTCAATCCCAACTCCATCGCTCAGGCGGCTATCTTTGTTGCCGTCTGCGAGGGGTACTTGGGGATTGCTCCCCATTGGGAGTTGTGGCTCCACCTATTCTAGGCGGGGCACACTACCAAGCCGTCGAGCACGTCGGGTACGAGGAAGGCGACGAGGGCCGGCGGCTGCACTCTCCAAGTGCGCCAAGACCGCCTGCACCTCTACATTCCGGCCCAGCTCGCGTCATCCAATCACCGGTGGTACACGAGTTGGTTCTACCTTCGCAATGACGACGGAGGACTTCCCCCCTACACTGGGCAGATTGTGGGGAGTTGCCCGGAGAGATCGAAGTACGGCGTCCCAAAGGATGACCAGCCCAAGCTGCAGCCGCTTCTAGAGGGGCTGGCGAGGCTGTGGGGTCACGGTCTCACCGCGGCTGTAGTCGTGGCCGCCTTCCACCGTCGGAGGGTGCTGCCGCTGATGGCTCGGCGGCGGTGGCTGTTCGAGATGAAGCCGGGTGAGCCCATTGAGGGCACCCGGATGTCCTCCTCGGCCCTTTCTGACGAGGAAATTCTTCGTCAGGTGGGGGAGACGGTGGAGGCGAAGCTGAGGGGCGGCAACTTGACCCCTATCGCTATACGGCCGTTGCGGGGGTTCCTCTCGCTGGTAAGTCATCCGCCGCTTGTAGCCTCTGAGCCTCCTCAGTCTCCCCTTACCCCTTGTTTCCTTATGCGCGTCAGTCGTTCCTGCAGGGGATGAGGGACGCACGCTCATCTCTGCCGCCCGTTCCCGAGGACGCGAGGCGGCGGGTGATCAACCGTGCGCACGCCGATGCGCAGAAAAAGCGGAAAGACGCCAAGGCGGCGAAGCGCACGAAGCAAATCCTCGCGCGTGAGGAGCTAGATAAGCGTCGTCGTCAACAACAGAAGGATGGTCTCCCGTTGGAGGAATCCCCATCGACGTCGCTGTCGATGGAGGCCTCGGACGGGGATGACGGGAGCGAG